TGGAGGAGGGCAAAGGCCTGGAACTCACAGGTGTCCGGAGGAACAGCAAGGAGGGCAGCGTGGAGGCTGCTGAGGCTGTGAGGTGGGTGGGCCGAGCCGGGGCTCCAGACGGGGTGGCTGGGACTGGGGTCCATGTCACTGAGTGCCAAGGGCTCTCCATGGTCCTCAGCGCACCAGGGAGCAGCTGGTGGTCCCCAGGCCTCCTCCTGGCCTTTGCCTGAGCCGTGCCCGCCTCCTGATCAGCTTCCTGGCTGGGGACATCCAGCAGTGCAGGCTCAGCTCCGGGCCCCCATGAGACCATGTGGCCCCCCTGGCTTCTCCCCCGCGCCCCTGAGTGGAACCCACACTTTGGCTCGGATGCCCTGCACCCGCTTCTGGAAGGCCCACCGGGAGCAGGTGAAGACCTGGACAGGGCGGGTGAAGCCTTGCCTCAGTTTCCCCATATGAACAGTTTCCTGCTGCCTCCTGGGTGAAGCTCAGGGGAGCTGGAGAGCCCTGGGGAGCAAGGGGGTCACCCCCAGTGTGCCCGGGGTGGACAGGAGCACCTCCTGAGCCGCTGCGGGCAGGGGTCAGCCGGGCCACTCTGTGGGTGGGTGCGTGGGCAGCGGGAATCCGGCCTGGCTCCCTGTCCCCTGCCTCTTCCCAGGGAACTGGGCCGCACGATGCCCGTGGGGGCTGCTGGGGAGGCGCCCTGTGTTTGCACAGGCTGCCCCGGAATGTGGTGGGACAGGCCCCGGGGGCCCCTGAGTCAGGAGCTGTGGGCGCCGGGCCAGGAGGGGGAAGGGCTGCCCTGGGCAGGTGGCACGGCCCTGGGGGGATGGGCACAGGGAAGGTGGGGAGGGGGCCGGGGGGCCCAGGTGGAAGGAGGGCACGGTGTGGTCAGGCTCCATCCAGATCAGGTGGCTCGGCCCCGGGCTGGCGGTTCAACGGGGCTCAGGGTTCGGTCTGGGTCGGGGGACTCGGGGTTCAGTCCAGGGTTGGGGCTCCGACCAGAATTGGGGTCCAGCTTGGGGCCAGGGCTTAGACTAGGCCTGGGCTCAGCCTGGTGGGGGCTCATTCACTCACTGACTCTCCCCCTCGCCGCCCCCTGCCCCACACCCCCGCCGCACAGCCCCTCCTGGCCAGGCCCTGGCTCTGTCCCGGGGGGCCTGGGCACAGTCAGGACATGGACTTCCTGTGCCCCATTCATTCCTATGCCTAACCCTAAGACGTCAGTGCTTGGAGACGGGCACCACTATTGGTGCCCCAGATGCCCAGCTCCACGACTCGTGGCTGTCTCCTCACCCCCACCCACGGCTGAGCCCTCAGTTACCCCTCAAACTTGCCCCGAGTCCAGCAGCTCACCAACCATCGCCATGGTCAGCCCTTCTTTCCCCGAATGACCACCCCGTTCCCTCCTCTCTGAACCCTCCTCTACCACAGACATGGGATCCCGTCCCTCTCCTGCTCAAATCCCCACCATGGCTCCCTAGCGCCCTCACCATCAAGACCCGACTCGTCCTGCCCTCCTTCCGGCCTTGGCGGCTGTCCCCTCCATTTCTCTGGGCTCCCTGAACCTCCCTGGCCTCGGGGGTTCCTTAAATACACCCCAGGGACCCCACGTCCCGGCCTTCACCCCTGCAGTTCCCCTGCTCGCCTAGAACGTGCTCCACTCTTTGCCCGTCGACTTCACTCATCCTTCTGGTCCCAGCCATGTGACACTCGCTGTCCCAGGGGACCCACCCAGGGAGCTCAGGGTCTCGGGGCACATGTTCAGAGCCTCTTCTGGGTCCTTTTTGACACCCGGCAAGGGAAGCTTGAGGCCGGGGCTCTGGTCACTCTTGGAGCCCCCTGCCCAGCACTCCTGGCCCCCTGGCTCCCCAGGACGGGTCCGGGGTGGAGGAGCGGGGGTCGACTCCCATCTGTCCCCTCCCCTCCTCATAGGCACGGCCCTGGGCACCAGAGAAGTCACATCTGAGTGGATAGGGGACTGCTCTATCCTCCATTTGACGCCCACCTTCTCCCTCTTTGGAGGATGGAAATAAGCCCCCATCCCATATCCAGGGAGACCCCCGGCCCCAGGCTCCACCAGCAGGCCCTGCGGAAACCTCCCTCCCAGAGGCCAGGGAGAACGAATGAATGGACGAATGAATGAGACCAGCTCCAGGATGCGGTGGCGGGGGGCGGGGGGTTGGCCATGGCGAGTGGGGGCACATCAGGGTCCGGCCCCTTCACGGGATCCGCATGGACGGAGAAACCCCCAGTTCCAGAGGCAGCCGGCCCCCTGCACACGCACACGCTGCACGAAGAAATGAGGTTGGTGCCAGGGGTCTGGCCCGAGTGATAAGCGCTCCTCCCTCCCGCGGGGACCTCTGTCAACAGGGCGGAGCTGGGTGGGGTGGGAGCAGGGAGACGGGAGAGCGGCCGGTCCCACCCCGGGACAAGGGACCCACTTTGGAGACAAATGAAAACGGAGGGCGGGAGAGTGTTCCTGAAGTCCTAAGTCCAATTACATTCTCTCTGTGGACAACCTGGGCCCGCACACCTAGCATGTCTGTCTTCTGGAAGCTTCCACCCCCAGGCCCAAGTTCCGGGCTCTGCCCCCTCCCCTCCATGGGAACCAACCACTGCCATTCGTTTTTCCAAACAGCAATGGGGTTGTCTCCTTCCCCGGGGGGGTCCCCAGCCTGGGTGGTGCACAGTAGGTGTGGCTGGGGGGAAAGGAGGAAGGGGCAGGTGGGGAGGCCGGCCGCCGGGCACCCAGCAGAGAACAAAGGCCGTAGTCAGGCGGGCGGGGGCGCGGGCGGGCTGTGGGCCGCCCGCGAGGGGCCCCTGGCACCAGTCGCTGGCTGCCTGTCCTGTGCCAGGGCCCTGGAGGGTGCGCCCAGGCCGCGGGGCTGGGCAGAGGTGGCGGCGACTCGGGGCCCCCACGGGCTGCTCCGCCCGGTGACTCAGCCCCATGCCGGGCCTCCCCAGGGAGGACAATGGTGGCTTGTGGGTGCCGGGAGGGCCTCCTGGCAGGTGTGAGCCTCAGGGTGGACTGGCCCGCAGGGAGGGGTTCTCTGAGCTTCAGTTTCCTAGTCTGTACAATGGGTTTAATCACTCGGGGATGAGAACCTGACGGCCAAACATATGGACGGAAAGAAGCACCTTTGGGACTGAAGGGAGGCCTCTGACAGCCCAGGTTGCCTTGGAGGGCAGGGACTGGACAGGTCGCCGTCACCACAGTGCCCCGCTGCCCAGCACCAAGCCTAGCATACAGTCGGTGCTCAATAATTGCATGGTCCATGAACGGATCTTTTCCCCACTTAAGTGGGTGTGCTGAGAGCCTCCCACCCCCCAGGAACATGGCCCCGACTCTGCGGTTTAGACCCTGAGCATTGTGGGGAAGGCAAGGCTGGCCCACCCCAAATGAGGTGGGGACCCCGAGAGGTCTGAACCCCACCTGATCCTCGAGAAACTCCCCCCAGGCTGGAGGGAAGCCAGAGCTGGCCACAAACCCGTGGGGTCAGGGTTGGGCCACAGGTAAGGGCTGGGGGCCGAGGGGGCGTCCACTCCAGAGACCCTGTCCGTCAGTGGGGAGAGGCTGAAGGACTCAGGCACGGGCTGTGGGCGCCCACTCTGTGCCCATTGCTGCACCCTTCCGTTTTCCTGATGGGGAAACTGAGGCCCATAGCACGGCAAGAATTTGCCCAAGGCCACGGGGAAGAACGAGGGATTGGAACTTGGACTCCAAGACCCACACCTCCTGCCCCAGGCCTGCAGCCAATGACGGATTCTGTGGGCCAGAAGGGGTCAGAGTGAGGGTCAGCCCACCTCGGGTGTAGCAGGAGGGGCCTGTGGCTTTTTTAGGAGCCCCCTAGTTTTCTCTGTGGGGACATGGGGAGCCACGAAAGCCTCTGTCATTTTCATTTATAATTATTCTTATTCCCATTCTGTAGGGTCTGTGGTCCTCAGAAGTCGAGGAGCCCCTGGCTCTGGGGGGATCTTTGGACCTCAGTGGACGCACAGACTACTGAGAATCAGAAGGCCCAGTGTAGCCTTGGTCCTGTGCAAATTCAGATCCAAATCCCATTTTACAGCTGAGCAAACTGAGACTCAGGCAGGCAAAGGCCACCAGCAATCAGAGGCACAGCGCCGGTGCCACGCGGGGCTCTTCGACCCTGAAACAGAGCTGGCCTCGGTTGCCCCGCCCGTGAAATGGGTCTGCTTCATTCCCTCGGCGCCGGGGATGCCCGCTCGCAACACCCAGCCCCGGCAGCTAGCCCTAGAAACACAGATACGACCCAACCGAACAGGCCGCGCGGGCGGCCACGCCAACCTGAGAATAAAACTCCAAATCCCCTCCCCCCCCCCCACCGCTTCTCGCGGCCTCTCGCTCGGAGAGTCCCGCCTCTTTCTTCGCAGGGCCGCGCGGTAGAGGGGCGGGGATGAGGGCGGGGTCTTGCCACGAATGGCGGGCGGCCCCGCCAATCAGGCTCCCGCGCCTCCTCATTGGCCACCTTCGCTCTGCCTTATCTTTCCATCTCAAGGTCCTCTGCCAGTTGCGTCACGGGGGCTGCTTAAGGCCCGCGTGCGCCTCCGCGCTGGGAGATAGTCCCCCCCGCCTCCCCGCGCTGTTGGCCGGCGGGCCCCCCCTCGCGCGCCCCCGCTCCCCGGCGCCGGGTGCCGCGTGGCCGCAGCTGGACTCCCGCGGGCGCGCCGGGCGGGAGGAGGGAGCCGGGCGCGGGCGGCGGCGGAGGGATCCGCGGCGGCGCGGGTGGGGCGCAGGGGGCGGGCCGTGGGCGTGGCCGGCGTGGGGCGGGGCCTGCGCGGGGCGGGGGCGGAACATGTCTCCCGCCGCAGGAAGATGAGGCAGCGGCGGCGGCCGCGGGCGTAGCGGGCGGACCGAGCCCAGCGTCGCGGGCGGCGGGCACCGCGGGCTCCGCGCACGCCGCCTCCGCCAGCCCCGGCCGCGCAGGGCCCCGCGGGCGCGGCCACGCGGGAGCGCCCCAGGCCACGCGCCGCCGCCGCCGCCGCCGCCCACGCGCGCCCCTCGGGCCCGCGCGCGCCCTTTGTCCGGGGGGGCCGTTCATGCCGCCGCCCGCGCGCCGGGCCGCGCCGAGCAGGTAACGCGCGGGGCCGGGGGCGCGCGGGGCCGGCGGCCGGGTCGCCCGAGTCTGGGGCGGGGGCGCGCGGGCCGCCCGAGTCATTGTTCTCTCCAACTTTGCGCCCGCTGGGGGGCGGCGACGTGGAGGAGCGCGCGCGCCCAGCCCCGGCCCCCGCCCCCGGCCACTTCGGGAAACTTTGCGGGGGCGCCCGAGGGCCGGCCGACCGGGCGTGCGCGCGTCCCGGGCGCCCCCTCCCCGGGAGGCCGGCCGGAGTTTGGAGAGGGGCGCGCGCGGGAGGGCGCGCGGGAGGGGGAGCCCTTTTGTCTCCGGGGAAGGGGCTGCGCGCCGCGGGCTCGGGTCGGGGCCGGGGGCCGGGGGGGAACATCTGCTCCGCGTTACCGCGGGGAGAGGCGGCGGCGGGCGGCTGGGGGTCGGCAGCAGAGCTTCAAAGGGCTCCCGGGCGCGCCGCCTGCACCGGCTGCGGGGGGTGGGGCGGGGGATTGGGTTCCCGGGCCTCCGCCCACCCCTCCTCTCCCCCCCCACCCCCGAGAGGAAGACGCTCTCTGGGCCGCCCCCCCCCCAAGCGTCTCCCGAAGTGGGTTCCAACACTTTCCCAGTCTCCCCTCCCAAGTCCCGGCGACCCCCAGAAGTCTCGCCGCGGCCCCCTCTTAAGAGCCCGTTTCAGCTCCCCCTCCCCCGAGTCTGCCTTCAGATCGGTTTCAACTACCCCACAAAAGAGTGCGGTTTCGTCCTCCTCAAAAAAAGTCAGTTTCACACGCCCTCCAAAAAAGAAGAAAAAAAAAAACTTAGCGGGGGAGGGGGTGCGCCGGGGCATCCGTTTCACACCCCGTCTCTAGTTGGCCCACAAAGCGGGGAGTTTCTCCGCTTCTGAAGTCGGGTCTCCCTCGACCTCGGAACCCCCTCTCCCCCGCAGCCTCTGGGGTTGCTCCGCGGCCGCCCCCGCCCCCCACCCGGGGAACCCGGAGGGGCTCGGCCCGCTGTCTGTGTGCGGGACGCACCCCTCGCCCTTCGCCCTCCGCTGGGGTGGGACGGGGCCTGGCAGGTGGATTCCCCACCCCCATTCTAGCACGGAGCCCCTGGGACCCTGCGGGGGAAACCCTGCTTTTGCGACCCCCTCCCCGCCCAGGGGCGGGCGGCGGCGAGGGATGTTTTCAAAGTTGCTTAAAAATAATTCCCGGATACATCGCGACAATAAAACAACCCAGGGTTGTTTTTTTCTTTTCTGAGTTCGGTTGTTTTTTGTGGGGGGAGGAGGTGAGGGGCGGAGGGAAACTTTGTGGGTAGGTCGCTGCGCAGGGCGCCCCCCCCACCCCCAATTCGGTCGTGAACGGGGAGGGGGCGGCTCCTCCTCACTTGTGGATTTCTTTCGCTTTGAATTTGGGGGTGACCGGGCCTTCAACGTGCTGTGACAGCTGCTGGGAAGGGGGGGTCCACCAAATTTCCTTGGGGGCGGGGCCTGGCTCGCCCCTCCTCCTTCTCGGGGGCGTGGCCAGTGGGGGAGCCTGGTAGGGGGGGGTTGGAAATGGGAGAAGTGGCGGGGGAGAGGGGCGGGTTCTGGCCGGCGGGCTCCCCGCCCTGCATCCCGTTGAAAATTTGCAATTTGATTCCCGATTCCCTGGTGGTCGCAGAGAGAGTTCAGGGGAGCTGTATTCTCGCGCCCACCCCGCCCCCCTCATTGTTCAAACTCCCCGCGGGCTCTGGGGAGGGGTCTCCAGGGGCCCAGACCCCTGGATCCTGGCTGCCCTGCCCCCACCCCTAGTGTCAGGAAGGGACTCACTGTGGGGAGACCCAGATCCTCTGGGTGGTCAGAGGGGCCTTTAAGCAGCTCTCCCCTCCTCATCTGGCCACCCCGGCCTCAGTCGCTCACCCTTTCTCTCCTCTCCCTGTTTGTCCGTGTGTGTCTGTCCTGGCACCTCCCTTCTCCACCACGCAGGGCAGTCTCCAGGCCTGAGGTGCCCACCCTGGCCCCTGCGCCCACTGTCACCGTCAGAGAATGAGCCAGCCGCAGAGGATGGCGCCCGTGGGCACGGACAAGGAGCTCAGCGACCTCCTGGACTTCAGCATGGTGAGCCTCGATCCCATTCTCCCGGGCTCCTCCCCACTGCAGCCCAGGCCTCCGGCCACCTCTTGGACACCCCGGGCTTCCTGGGAAAGAAGCATCTGCAGAAAACCCCCCCGACAGCCGGGCCTTAAGCTGGTTTGGATGGAAGGGCCTCTGGCTGGGGCCGGGGGAGTTGGGGTGCACTGCGACGGGTAGGTTGGCACCCCCACAGCAGTGAGCAGCAGCCAGGTCCTCTCCAGCTTCCAGAGGCACCTGTCACCCCAGGTGTTTGCCCAGGCACAGCTTGGGGCTAGTCCACCACTTTACAGATGGGGAAACTGAGGCCCAGAGAGAGGGAGGGGCTGCCCAGAGCCTCCAACACCTCCATGGGGAGGCTCGGCCCTGAGGCTCTTGCTTGGCTCTGGGGGGGTGGTGGCCTTGGCATTTGTGATCTGCAGAATGGGTGTGATCAGGGTTATTCACTCCATGTGTGTGCAAAAAAAGAAAAAAGGAGTGTCCGGTGCCTGGCTGGCCTGTGCAGGGAGCAGGGACCCTTGGTGAGCCGGCAGACTCAATTATCAAGTCACGCGGTGGCCAGCGTGGTGTGTCGCCAGGAGCTTGGGGCGCAGGGGACAGGAGGAGACTGCAGGAGATGTGGATGGGCATCTGGGCAGTGCTGGCCCAGAGGAAGCTTTCCTGTTGGGGAGGGGGCGGGCCCTGGTGAGAGTGAGCCGTTCTTCACATGTCCCAGGCAGTTTGATCCACGCCAGAACGGCCTGTTTCCCAGCCGGGCAGATGGAGGTTCAGAGAGGGTTGCTGCCTTCCAAAGGTCACACAGCAGCCCTGGCGAGGCTGGAACCGGAGCTCCCCTTGCATGTCGGGAGCTGGGGCGCATCTTGGAGGACCAGGGCCTCGGCTTGCCTGTCTGTGCAGTGGGCCACCTGTCATGGGTGTTGGGGGAGGGAGTGGTTGGTGTTTCCTGGCAAACCCAGGAACCTGGGTACGGCCAGTTCCCTAAATCCTGCTGCTTCCCCTCCCCCAGCGAGCACCGTTCGGGCTTGAAACAGGACCGGGGAGGGAGTTTTCGGTCTGAATTTAACCCTCCACCCGTCCGGGGCCCAGGCCGCTGAGGTCTGTCGAAAACAAAAGTCCCTAAACCGAAACGACGTCAGCCGCCCTGCGGAAAAGCAGAGCCCACGGGACGGGGGGCCACCGCTCCGGAAGGGCCACGCCGGTATTTTTAAGCCCCGTCTTATTTTTGCCTCCTCGGCTGAGTAATCAGGGGTGCAGCTCGCTTGTTTTTTTGTTAAACTGACAAGTCATAGATCACTGGGCCGGAACGGAGCGACTGGGGGGCGGGGGGGCGGCCGCACGGGCCCCGACCTGGCCCCTTCGCCGGAGGGTCCCAACGTGTCCTCCCCCCAGCTCAGCACCAGGCACCCGGTTTCCAGATGAGGAAACTGAGGCCGAGAGGGCTGAGGTGCCCGGTGTCCCGTGGGAGAAAGGCCAGGGCTGGGTTTCCATTCGTCCCAGAGAATGCCCCGGCCGAGCGGCGGGCGCGGAGGCAGCCCCCCCGTTACAGCTGTCGTCCCCTCCCATAGCTGCCTTCCCACCCCCCCCCGGAGAAACTGAGTTAATGTATTTCTTTAAAACAACTCGTTTTTAGACCGCAACCAAAGGTTTTAAAGGGCAGCCGCTTTCTTGGGTGAAGTTCACATCAAAATACAGAGAGAAAATCAAACCACGCTGTCAGACCCCCGTCTGCCCTGACCTGGCCTTCCTGTCTTGGAGGGGGTCAGAAAGAGGGCAGACGCGGGCCTGAGGGCTCCCCAGCCTGGGGCTGGGCTTGAGGGGTGGGTGGGAGGGGTGCCGCTGGCAGATGCTCGCCCTGTGACCCGGCTGGGTGACCCCGCCAGCCCAGGGCGCCCCTCTGAACCGTGCCCAAGACGCCCACGTGCGTTTGGGTTTCAGGATGTCCCACGTGGCCTGAGTCCTGAGCCCGTTTCACAGAAAAGGAAACTGAGGCTCCGAGGGGTTCAGGGCCTGGTCTGGGCTCGTCATGAGGCCTGTGGCGCCCACAGGACACGGCCCAGTGCCCCGTGTCACAAGTGCCACGTCAGCAGAGCCTCTGGCACCCTAGAAGACGAAACAGAGAGGTGGGGTGGAGCCCCCACACACCCAGGGGCTTGGCTGCTGACCCCCAGGCCTCAGGTCCCGTTGGTTCTGGTCCTGGCTCAGGCCAGCCCCTCCCTCCAGGCCTCAGTTTCCCCAGGGGGGAGGAACCATCCTGGAGGACAGGGCCCTGGGGAGGCTGGACCAGTTGAGTGGGCACGCCCCTGAGTTGGGGCACAGATCTGTGAAAACCCGCCCGGGCCCCACACTTCCCATGAGTCTCTGCTCTTAGTCCTGCCAGGGCCAGGTGGCGTATGGCCTCAGTTTCCCCTTCTATAGAATGGGGCGTGGGGGACAGGACCCCACTTTCTGGGCCCCTCCCAGGGCTCGTGGTGCCACCACGGGAGTCATGCCCCCAGGCACTGCACCCCCACCTCCTGGCTGGCCAAGGAAGGTTTTGGGGGGCCTTGAGCTGCTCCCCAACAAGCCCTTGACCTCGATTCTGGCCAATTTGAATCACCTGAACCCCAAACTGGATCTGTAAAACCCAGACCCTCGGGGCAGGGCGCGGCCGTGTTTTGTTTTTTCTGTGGCAAAAGAGTTTGTTGGTGTTGGGTTTTCCTGGTTAATGCTGCTAAGCTGGTTAATCTTTAGGGACTTAGCGCGCTGTGTTGGGGTGAGCCAGGGCAGGGAGGGAGAGTGGGGTGTGGCCGTCCCACATCAGGCCCCGGAGATCCACCGAATCAACCGTGGGGGTGGCAGCCTTTTTCTTGTCTCTCCAGTGTCCTGCGTCTGAGCCTGTTTCCCCTTCTGACAGCAAGCTGCGGGGTGCCACGGGAGCTGCTCTGGCAGCTGCTGAGCACAGAGCACGGGGCTGGGGGTGCCGCGGGGGTCGCTCGCCCCGGGTCAGTCTCCCTGTCCCAGTGTTGGGGCCTGGCTCTCCCCCCCATTCCTTCCACTTAAGGTCAGGGGCACGCGAGGGAGTGATGCTGGGCTTGCTGGGAAAGGTGGTGTGCGTCGCGCAGGGGGCTGGAGCTTCCGGTGGTCCTTGCTGGTCCCCCTGCTGAGCAGCGGTGATCTCCCTTCCCTAAGTTGCAACTTGGGAACTTTGTATCGGTTCTGAGGGCAGATACATTGTATCAAGTGCCTAACAGGTTACTCTCCTCTGCTGGAAACAGTGTGCAAACAGCAGCGTTTGTATCTCCCGGGATGCTGCTGGGGGGCGGCCAGGGGGAGCCTTCTGCGCAGGCGCGTGCGGCCAGGCCTGTGCTGCCTGTTTCCCCCTGTGTGGTCTCCTCCAGGCGGAGCCCCGTCCCCAGGCTCTGCCCCACTCACGTCTCTCTCCCTCCCCTGCAGATGTTCCCCCTGCCGGTGGCCAACGGGAAGGGCCGGCCCGCCTCCCTGACCGGCGCCCAGTTTGGAAGCTCAGGTAGGACCGGCTGTCTCGGGGCTGCGCGTTTGTGGGAAGAGATGGGCGGTGCAGAGGGGCCGGGGCGGGGACGGCGCGGCCTGAGCCCAGGGCGGGGCTGACAGCCGGACCCAGGCTCGCGGACGGGGCACCCGGGGAGGAGGTGTTTGGGGGCGCGCCCAGGCCTACAGGTGGAGTGGGGGGGCGAGGCCTGGGCCCTGGTGTGTGTGGGAGGGTGTCTGTGTTACTTACGGGGGGGCCGTGTGAAGCAGCAACTTGAGCCTCCGAGGTCCCCCTAGCCCAGGTGGGGTCCTGAGTCTCTAATCCATCCGCCCTGGGGAAACCAAGGCACAGAAGGGGCGTGACGTGGAACCCCAGCCCTCACCAAATCCCACCCAGCTCCTGGCTGTTTTCGTCCAAGTGTGTGTTAGTTGCTTACTGTATATGTACCCTGCACTGGGGTGACCAACTGTCCCGGTTTGCCTGGGACCCAGGGGGTTCCTGGGACTTTGAGCTCAAATTGGGAACATCCCGGGCACACCCGGACTGGTTGGTCACCCTGGCCAGCACTGAATGCCGCCGACAAGGCAGGGGGAGGACAGACAGCACGGCCTGAAGCAGCATATAGTGGGAGTCAGGCAGCAGAGTGGCAGGGAGGGGCTGTCACAAAGCCAGGGCCTTGGGGACTGTCTCCAAGGAGGGGATGTTGGTGCAGAGGCCTGATGGGGATGGTATCAAGGCAGGGGGCACAGCCTGTGCAAAGGCCCTGGGGCAGGCCTGGGCTGGCATATTGGAGGAACAGAGAGGAGGCCCGTGTGGCTGGAGCAGAGGGACAGAGAGGATGGGACAGGTCGTGTGGGGCCTGGTGGGCCACGGGGAGGACTTGGGCTTCTCCCCATAGGGAGGTGAGAGCCGTCAAGGGCGGTAGGCAGAGAGAGGTGCCGTTGGGGAGGTGCATGTTGGGGGGTCCACTTGCACCATCGGTGGGGTTTGGGGAGTACCTCCCGGCACTAGGTGTGGACTTTAGTGTTTTTCTGGGGTCTCAGGGTCCGAGCTGTGTCCTTATGTCTCTTGGGGATCCAGGACCCAAGGTCCATCTTGGAGTTGTCTCTGAATCCCACCCGGGTGTCCAGTGGGCTGCGGCTGGAGGAGGAGAGGGTCTCGAGGGGCAGTTCACGCTCACCCCCCACCCCCAAGGGAGGGATGTCGTGTTGCCGCCCCACTGCCCTGCGTTGGCCTTCCCCTCCGCCTGAGGAAGTGGCCGCAGGACTGGCCGGAGTCCTTCCTGAGATGTGGAAATCCCCGCAGGCCACCATGCCCCACCCTCGGAAGCTGCCCCGGGAGCCAGGGCGCTGCCACTTCCCTGCCTGGCGGAGGGCCAGGCCCCGGGGGCTTCCTGGAGGAGGTGACACAGGCATGCCCTCCTCTCCCCCTCTGCCCCAGGCCGTCTTCCCTCGTCCAGTGTCCACTCACAAGGCCAGCAGCCCCGAGGAGCGGAAGCCAGGGGCCTGTGAGCCCCTCGGCCACCGGGAAAAATTCTTCTCTGAGACCCCCCGCTCCCCGCCTGGCCTGAGTGAGACCCCCATGACTATTTGCAGATTGACTTCCTGTTGTATCTGCAGCCCCGGCTCGCTCTCTGGCCCTGCCCTGACCCCCATTGGACAGTTAGGGTCTTGCCTTGTTCCCCTGACTCGTCAGGCTGAATTTTCTTACTCTCATGGGAAGTGGCATGGTTGGTCCAGCCTGAGACCACCCCCAGCCGGACAGGCAACTGGGGACCCCACTCCACCAGCTCAGTTCGAGAGTAGTTGATGCCAGCCTGAGCCTGGGGCGGGGGTCACAGGACTGAGGCCCTAAGACCCGAGCCGAAGGGCCTTGTCACTGCCTCCCGACACCACCAGGCTGTGACACCGTGTTATCAGGTGACAGTGCTCCTCTGAGCCCCAGCTTGCTTGTCTGTTTGCCAGGCGTCTGCCTGTCAGCAGAGGGTTGGACGGGGGTCTCCCCTCCCTGAGCTCGTTCCCCACCTCTTCCCGGTGGGACTGGAGCCCCTGGGGAGGGGGGCGCGGTTGGGTGGTCCGTCAGCAGGGCAGGACCGGGGGAGACCCCCTTGCCGAGCCTCAGTTTCTTTCATCCGTCAGTGGGTCACCATCCTTCCAGACGGGCCGTGTTGGCCTGGGGCTGGGGGGCCACCACCGTTTGTCAGGAGTTTCCACGTGCCTGTGGGTCCCCGGCACAGGCTCCCGTCACCCTCCTCGTCTGTGCTGGCCTGGCGTCTATTTAGTTTGGTTTCTCTGAGTCCTCAGTTGCTCCTAGATTCATCCCGAAAGGGCACTTTCTGCCAGCAGGTCAGCAGCTGGCCGGCCTGGGCGGTGTCCCCGATAGTGGCTGGAGCGGGAGGCGGGTGGGTGTGGGGGCCGCCTGGCTCCCTCTGATGGTGTCGGAGAGGCGAGGCCGCGCCAGGCGGGTATGCGGGTTTTTATCCGGATTGGAGGGCGTTTAAGACGAGCCGAGTGTGTCCCCCTCCCTTTGGAGGGGGCCCGGGCCCGATGACAGCACGTCCGCGGCCAGAGCCGGTGGGTCCGAGGCCCCAGGGACGGCAGGAAGCACTCGGTGACACAGCAGAGGAAGCGTCTTCCTATTTTTACCGTCCGCGCGGCTCTCTGGGTTTGTGCAGTTGTGGACGTGGCGCCCGCTCAGGGCAAAGACCAAGGGCAGGGGAGGCGGCCGCTGTGTCGTCTCCACAGGGGACCCTGTGATCCCGGCCTCCCAGGTGGATTCTGGACGGAGGACGCTGGCCGTGGACGTGTGATCACGCTGGGCACGTCCCCTGGTGTCCCATCGCCTTGGCCAGCGCCGGCTCTTCCTAAGTTTCCTCCCGTTCGCTGGGCCTCAGAAAGGGGTCCGCCGTTTCCAGGGTGCTGATGTCACCGCTCACGGGCGGCCGTCTTTGCAGGAGCTCATCCGCCACGTGAGTTCCTTTGTGACGAGTCTCCCGTCACTGTCTTGTGCCCTTTTTCTTTCTTATTTTGGAGTTGATCAACTTTTGTTTTTGGCTTTTAATTTTGGAAACTAGAGATTCACAGGAAGTTGCAGCCAAGTGTCCAGGGAGGACCCTCGCTCCCTCCCTTGGCCTCCCCCCCGCCGCCCCCCCCAGCGGCGACATCCCTCACATCTGTGGCGGGAGATCAGGACGAGCCCCCGAGTTTGCTCAGATCTCACCAGTTTACGTGCGCGTGTGCGTGTGTGTTTCATGCCGCATGTAGGGCCGTTAGGCCATGGCCACAATGCAGAGCAAGAGGCGTCCAATCAGAACACCGTCCCCCTCCATAGCCACACCCGGGGCCCCCCCACACCCAGGGCCACCGCTGATCTGTTCTCCACCCCACAGTTCTGTCATGTCGATAGTGTTCTGAGTGTGGACTCGCACAGTGTGGAACCTTCTGAGATGGGCCTTTTTCACTGAGCCTCATTCTCTCGAGATCCATCTGAGTTGTGGGCTGTACCACCAGTTTGTTCCTTTTATCGACACCCGATGAACTTTTGAACGTCAGCGATGATAGTGCTTATCAACCAGGACTTATATCACTATTTCTGGAGCACTGTGTGCCGGCCACCAAGCTTGGATCATTGATTTGAGCCCTCCATCCTCACAGGTCGAGGAAATAGGTATAGTTATTAGCCATCTTTTACCAATGAAGAAGCTGTAACCATCCCAGCTGACCACCCAGTCCTGCCTCCCATAGTGTCCTGTACCCCTGCCCTGCTCTGCTTTTACTGATTTGCAAGAACTCTTTATATAGGGAGGTTGTTAATCTTTTGTCATCTACATTGCAGCCTTTTTTCTTCACTCTCTCTTTGTAACCATTGCTACTGGTGGAGATTTCTAGTTTGTCTCAGTGGTTTACAGGTATTGTTTTTACATTGTCTTCTTATTTATGGTTTTCTGGCGTTAGTGCCATTTTGAGAACATTTTTAGGAATTGGTTGACAGTCCATTCTGTAGTGCTGATGTGATGGTCGTGAACGTGCCTGTTCCTCGTTGTATCAGGTTGAGGAACCTATGGGGAAAGATGCGGGAGGAGAGAAAAGCGTGCTTTTGCCATCCTGGGCAGATCAGAGATGTGAAAAGTGAGTGGGAGGGAGGGAAGCTTAACAGCAAAGTGATCAAGCTTGAGCTGACACAGCAGCTCCTGGCCCTGTGCACCCGTGGGGCTGCTCAGAACACGCGTCCCGGGGCCCTGCACCCAGAGCCGCTGGTGCAGAGGCTCAGACGGGGCCTGTCAGAGCTTCCAGGCCATTCTGAGGGACATCTCCAGTTAGAAGCACTTTTTTTGAAGAAGAAGATGATTAGCCCTGAGCTAATATCTGCTGCCAATCCTCCTCTTTTTGCTGAGGAAGACTGGCCCTGAGCTAACATCCATGCCCATCTTCCTCTACTTTATATGTGGGACGCCTGCCACAGCATGGCTTGACAAGCAGTTCCATGTCCACACCCGGGATCCGAACCAGCAAACCCCGGGCCACCGAGAAGTGGAACGTGCACACTCACCTGCTGCACCACCGGGCTGGCCCCTAGAAGCACTTTATCTACCAAGCGTATGTCTTTTTAAAGGCCAAGCCCTATAAATAAAGACCACACCCCTTTTATAAAAATTGACCCCATACTGGGCACAGTAAAAACCTCTAACGTAAAAAATAAAGACTAAAGCATAAACCACATTCTCTGAGAACAATGCAGCAAAACTAGAAATAAAAAACCAAAAAGGAGAAAGAAAGAAAAAAACCTAACCACTTGGAAATACCGAAATTCCTTTTTACCCGCCTGTTGGGTTAAAGGGGAAATCAAAACAGCCCAGACAGGCTAGACAGAAATCAGCAGTAATGTAAACACGTTGAGACTGAGGTGCAGCCAAAGCTGTACTTGGGGAGGAATCATAGCTTTTGATGTTCTCATTGAAGCGGATAAAATGAAAAGAGTGGGATTAAGCATTTAAGTTAGGAAGTTATAGAGCAAGAGAA